CCTGGTGCTATACGCTAGGAATTTCAATACGTTGTTCAAATAATTTTAGGCAGGGAGTCTCTGGGTCGGTTGGTCGCTACGGGGTCATCGACGCCGACCCGGTCAGTCGTCAGGAAGCAGCCGTGGCGTGAGCATCGTCGGTCCCGTGTAGGTAAGGCTGATCATTTTTTTTTTTTTTTTTTGCAAATATATCTGAGCAGTTGGGAGGTATGCATGAATATATAGTCTACCTCCACCTACAATGCTTAATGCATTATACATTTGTTCGCTATTATAGCAAATATTATCTTAAATATTATATTATAGCAATGTACAAGAATGTAACAACTCTTGTATATATCTCAAAAAAAAAAAAAAAAAAAAAAAAATATATTATCTCGCCGGCGCTACATTGGGCAGAGTTTCTTTCACCCTATGCCCCTGCTACCTAGCAGTACAATAGGTACCTGGGTGTTAGTCAGCTGTCACGGGCTGCTTCCTGAGGGTGGAGGCCTGGTCGAGGACCGAGCCGCGGGGACACTATATAAAAAAAGCCCCGAAATCATCTCAAGATAACTCAAGATAGCATTGAGTTTTGTAATGTCTCCGAGGGTCATTGTTTCTCTATTTTTTTTTCATCCGGGTTGTGTAGTATTCAAATGTTTGTATTCCACTAATGCTAAATAGTCTGTCGTCTCTCGGATATTGTGGAAGATTTTTGAGGATCATGATTTGCCAACATTATATGGGTAGCATATTATGTAGAATACACTTCCCCAGTGTTAAACTACCCCGTCGTCAGGCTAGGCTCGTTAACGCAGCGGTCGTCTCCCCCACATTTATTTATTTATTTATTTATGCATATACAAGAACGTACATAAGGAATGTGAGGATACAAATATGGTAATTACAGTCTTGTAAAGCCACTAGCACGCGCAGCGTTTCGGGCAGGTCCTTAATCTAAGAAAATTTTAAGGAGGTAAATACTTGCAAAATTTATAGACAAAAAATGATAACAGATTACATGGAATGAAAAAAAAGATGAGAGAAAATTATAGGTACAGTATATTAAAGCACATAGGTAGCTATGATTGATTGCAATGACAGCTTAAAATGGTAGTTGACAACAAATTGGTAGGCACAATACAGCAGAAACAATATAAGATTGATTGCAATGACAGCTTGAATGGTAGTTGAAAAAAAATTGGTAGTCACAATACAGCATGACGCATCCCATGACGCATTTATTATCGACTTTCATGTACTGTGTATTAAAAAGTTTTTATCGTGTATAAATTAATTATATATTCTATAATTAATTAGGCGTATAGTAGGTTCGGTATTTAGGTTCTGTTGGCAATTATTTTCACTTGAAGTATGTGGAGGGAGAAGCATTACAGTTGCCTGTCCTCAGGCCAGGCTCCCCTACGCCGCCGCCCGACTTAAAGCCTCATTCATCAATTTTCTCGCTGTGTATTCAGAATTATTCTCGTGTATAAGGTAATATTATTTCATGAAGTTAATAGTTAACAAGTAAGTTTACTGACAAGCGACAGTTCAATGTACAAATACTGCAATAGTTTAGTTTAGTTCATATATTATGCACCCCATACCCATCTTGTGGGTGGTAGTAGAAAGGGTTACAGAGGCACATAATGGGCTCAGGGACTGAAGCTAAGCAAGTTACAATCTTGATACAGTTTACATTTGGTCAGATCTACATCAGCAGATAATGAGAATTCCCAGAGATACTTGTAACCGAGTCTAAGCCGAGCAGTATAGTAACATCTAGAAGTCCGCTGATATTACTGGATGAACCATAGATGTGTGGCTCCTCTTGCATGATAGTATGATACTGCAATAGATGAACAACTTCCCAACAGGAAGGAGCGGGGACACCCCTCCGGGAACTGAATTTACCTGAGGGCCACTAACACTAGTGGCCTCGATGAGGGCAGTAAGCCGGCGGCTTGTCAAAGGTCCCCCTATTTGACCTGATGATCCTTTCCAGCTGTATTCCAGGGCTCTGGATACACAACTGGTCGGGTTCCGATTACATAACTCCGGGGGTGTGACTTGTTGGGCTTTGGGTTGTGCATGGTTGTGCTCCGGTTCGTACATGGTTGTGCTCCTGTTCGTACATGGTTGTGCTCCAGTGGTTGTTTGTGTACTAGTGCTCCAGGTTTGTTTGCTAGGGCTTTATGTTTATATGTTTGCTAGAAATTCGGGTTTCTTTTTTTTTGTATATAGTTCAATTGTTTGATATGGCTCCATAGTTGGTTTCTAGGGCAAGTGGAGGGTTTTAGGTAGCGCTAAGAATTTTGTTTGGTCGAGCTAGGAATGGAGTTTGGTTGTGCTCTGGGACTGTTTAGCTTTATGGGGGGTTGGATGAGATGTATACTTGCTAGGCTTACGGTTACACAACTGGTCGGGGCCTGGTTACACAACTGGTCAAGCTTCGGTTACACAACTGGTCGGGCTCCGGTTAAATAACTGGTCGGGCTCCGGTTAAATAACTGGTCGGGCTCCGGGGGTGTCACTTGGGCTATGGGTTGTGCATGGTCGGGCTTCCGTTCGTGCATGGTTGTGATCCAGAGGTTGTTTGTTTGGTTCGTTCATGCTAGGCTTGCGGTTAGACAACTGGTCGGGCTCCGGTTTCATAACTTGTCGGGTTCCGATTACATAACACCAGTGGTGTGACTTGTTGGGCTTTGGGTTGCACATGGTTGTGCTCCGGTTCGTACATGGTTGTGCTCCGGTTCGTATATGGTTGTGCACCAGTGGTTGTTTGTGTATTAGTGCTCCAGGTTTGTTTGCAAGGGCTCTGTTTATATGTTTCCTAGAAATTTGGGTTTCTTTTTTTGTATATAGTTCAATTGTTTGATATGGCTCCATAGTTGGTTTCTAGGACAAGTGGAGGGTTTTAGGTAGCTCTAAGCAGATTTTTGTTTGGTCGAGCTAGGAATGGAGTTTGGTTGTGCTCTGGGACTGTTTAGCTTAATGGTGGGGGTTGGATGAGATGTATACGTGCTAGGCTTATGGTTACACAACTGGTCGGGGTCTGGTTACACAACTAGTGGGGCTCAGGTTACACAACTGGTCGGGCTCCGGTTAATAACGGGTCGGGCTCCGGTTAAATAACTGGTCGGGCTCCGGTTAAGTAACTGGTCGGGCTCCGGGGGTGTCACCTGAGTTTTGGGTTGTGCATGGTCGGGCTTCCGTTCGTGCATGGTTGTGATCCGGAGGCTGTATGTTTGGTTCGTTTATGTTAGGCTTGCAGTTACACAACTGGTTGGGCTCCGGTTACACAACTTGTCGGGTTCCGATTGCATTACTCCGGGGGTGTGACTTGTTGGGCTTTGAGTTGTGCATGGTTGTGCTCCGGTTCGTACATGGTTGTGCTCCTGTTCGTACATGGTTGTGATCCAGAGGTTGTTTGTGCACTAGTGCTCCAGGTTTGTTTGCTAAGACTCTGTTTATATGTTTGCCAGAAATCCGGGTTTCTTTCTTTTGTATATAGTTCAATTGTTTGCTATGGGTCAATAGTTGGTGTCCAGGACAAGTGGAGGGTTTTAGGTAGCTCTAAGCAGATTTTTGTTTGGTCGAGCCAGGAATGGAGTTTGGTTGTGCTCTGGGACTGTTTAGCTTAATGGTGGGGGTTGGATGAGATGTATACTTGCTAGGCTTATGGTTACACAACTGGTCGGGGTCCGGTTACACAACTGGTGGGGCTCAGGTTACACAACTGGTCGGGGTCCGGTTACACAACTAGTGGGGCTCAGGTTACACAACTGGTCGGGCTCCGGTTAATAACTGGTCGGGCTCCGGTTAAATAACTGGTCGGGCTCCGGTTAAGTAACTGGTCGGGCTCCGGGGGTGTCACCTGAGTTTTGGGTTGTGCATGGTCGGGCTTCCGTTCGTGCATGGTTGTGATCCAGAGGTTGTTTGTTTGGTTCGTTCATGTTAGGCTTGCAGTTACACAACTGGTCGGGCTCCGGTTACACAACTGGTCAAGCTTCGGTTACACAACTGGTCGGGCTCCGGTTACACAACTTGTCAGGTTCCGATTGCATTACTCCGGGGGTGTGACTTGTTGGACTTTGAGTTGTGCATGGTTGTGTAGGGTTCGGTGTTCAATGAACGAAAAGGACATGAGCAGTTTAAATTGCGAACGCATACCAACGAATAACGCTAGTATCTATATAACAAATTTATTGTCCTGTGGAGTTGATTTAACTTCCAGACACGTTTTGTTTAATAAATATTAAAGATTTAGTGGCTGTTTATGAAAGATATTATATAAATACACATTCTACTTCTTAATATCACCAATTAAATTTGCGACAATTTGAGCCATGAAATGCGACGACTGGATCACTGTGTACAGGAGGCTGATATGGCAGCAAACATCTCCAGGTGACCATATATCTTGGATAAGTCGCTCCACACAATTGTCGCTTGGACCGTCGACTTCCTATGGCGTCACCTCACATATTTACGTCTCATTTCGTTATGAAATTAGATTATTTCAGAGTAAAAATAGGTTTGATCATGTTCTACGTGTAGCACCAACATTATAGTAAGTAAATATATCATATTTCTTCATTACTTACGTAATGCTAGGACGATTTGTGTAGTTTCGGGCCGATTTGGGTAATTCTATGGACCGCAGGCAGGGTCGCTGTGATGAAATGGGGATATTAGATGAACTTATAGGTAGCTCTTGATCTATACTCTCTAATCCCTGATATTATAGGGTGTACTGCTACCCTATTATTCAACTAAGTTTGTTAATAATAAAACAAAAGGGGCTTAGATCAAAAAGTGAACCGCTGTGCGTGAGTGGTATTTTACTAACAAACAACAAAAATGTACAATGTAATCACTATTATCAAATCCTCTGTAATTTTCCCATAAATAAAATATTATTAGTATTGTGATTGGTGTTATTATAATTATTTTTAAGTCCTGGGGATTTTAGTGGATGTGAATGTGTGTGCCATGTGGTGCTGGAGGTAAACATTGGTCGACTCCGGCTGCCTGGAAAATGGAGGGCCTTTCACGCTAATGTGCAAGAACAACACTAATGTTCACAGAGTGCGCTCTTAATATCCATAATAATCAACCAGTTCAAACAATAGGTATCACAGAGAAGGTGAGGTTAGTCTTCGCCAGCACTATTGACCGCATACAACTGCAGCTGTCAAAGAGATTAGCGTGTACTCGTTCAAACTCTGCATCGTTTTGAATGTATTTCTAATTGTTAAAACGATTTCGTTAAAATTACTGTTATCGGGGACAGAAAGTCTGTACGTAGGCATATTGAAGTCCACCCGTCCCTCCCCCTACTTTCTAGGCCAACTACTGACCGTCTCTAGAAGGGAACCTAGGTAGCCAGTCCCCATAGTTTAGTGGTAAAGCACTTGCCCTTCGCTTTGCGAATGCTTTGGCCTGGGTTAGTGTCCTGGCCGGGGAGGATTGACCGAGTGTCAATCCTTAACTGTAGCCTCTGTTCACCCAGCAGTGAAGAGGTACATTGATAATCAATTTGGCGGGTCGTATTCCAGGGAAAAAATAGGTTTATGGACCTGTCTGAAATGCCATGTGTTCTAGTGGCTGTACAAGAATGTAAGAACTCATATATGTACAAATAAAATGAAATTGGGATAGTCATATGTTTCCTAACGCTGGGGGTGCTTATTTTACTAGTAAGTGAACAGGGCATCGGGTGAAAAGAAACATGCCCAGCCATTTTTTTGTTTTGGTTTGAATCCAGGTTGTTTGGTTGCGAGATGATAAAATAACCATTGTGCTACAGGACTCGTATAGCAATTCCTAATTGTTAAACAGATAGTTATGTTGGCTTGTTGGGTTAGGTTTCTTAGTGTTACAGGGTATTTAAGAGGGTTGTTGATTAAGGGGCAGTGACAGCCTATGGTGTATAGATAATGTCTAGAGTTATGTCAGTGTCATTGCTTCTCTTTTTAAAAAAAAACCTATCCTAACCTAACCTAATGAAAACACAATTGTGAGAAAATCCTGGACTAGAATTTGGTAACATTTTGTATATTAATGGTCAAGCGGTGGGGTCCAGGAACTGAAGCATATACATATACTATACTGTATACAGAAAGAGCATTTAGGCAAGCACACATATATACACACATAGAAATACATGTTGGGAATATAGAAAGATGATTGCAGTACACTCTGGCATGATTACATGTCTGGGTAGGAAGTGTATTAGGTGACAACCATTTTAAATCAAAACTTAAGCAAAGTGGTTAATTCTCGAAGTCTGTTATTAGTGGTTTATGTACACAAAACACTCGAGCCCGAGTGCCTGAGCCTCAGGTTGGGCTCTGGGAATAGAAGAACTTTCAAGACCCCTTCCAGGTATACTTCTGGATTTATTTGTCTGTTGCTATTTGATGTTTGTACAACTTTTTCATAACTTTTTATTTTCCTTTACAGGCCAGCAGTTAGAAAATGGGGAAGAACAGAGGTAAGGCAGCAAAGAAAAGTGGTGCAGCAGGAAATTCATCATTACTTTCTGCACCTGTTTCAACTTCACATGAATTTGAGGGCTTGGCGGGCTTTGAGGAAATTACATCATGTACACTTATGAAATTATCCAAGCGGGGACCAGTGAAGAAAGAAGTTTGGGAAGATGGAAAAATTGTCAAGGTAAGAAGTAATGGTAGTATTTTGTATTCTTTAGTTCCAAGATTGATACAAGTTTTCAGTTCTAATGGCAGCTATTAAACTAGTGAGTAATTTGATATTACCTTAACAGATATGGCATTATATATATTACACAGAGAAATCACATTATCGTGATATATCAATGAGAAAATTCACATTAGCTGTGATGAGGATTCAAACCTATGCACTGGGTATTCCCAGAAGCAACATCTGGGAATACCCAGCGCATAGGTTCGAATCCTCATTATGGCGGCCGACCGGCTCCCCGGTCGGCCGAGCGGACAGCACGCAAGACTTGTGATCCTGTGGTCCTGGGTTCGATCCCAGGCGCCGGCGAGAAACAATGGGCAGAGTTTCTTTCACCCTATGCCCCTGTTACCTAGCAGTAAAATAGGTACCTGGGTGTTAGTCAGCTGTCACGGTCTGCTTCCTGGGGGTGGAGGCCTGGTCGCGGACCGGGCCGCGGGGACACTAAAGCCCCGAAATCATCTCAAGATAACCTCAAGATGGCTCCTGTGGATTTTCTCATTAACAATAATAATATTATTTATATATTATAACAATAATAATAATTGCCCAGAATGGCAGTTCACAATTTGGCCCTGGGGAATATACCTCATAAATTCACCTTAAACTGTACTGCCAAAAAAGCACCTTCCCATCACACTACACTACACCCTCAGTCTTGCTCACGTTTCTCAACTTAATTTACCTTTTTGTATGTGTACAGTCATTTTCTTGCTCCTAATTGCTCTAGCTTGACAACTACTGCCGGTAGACATATTTTCTACTTGCAAGTAATGAAATATTCAAAGA